TTAACGAGGTAACCGTCAGCAGGTGTGTGAGGAGGCGAACCAGAACCAGGCGCCTCCTGCTGGTTGAAGGGAGAACAACACAAAAGACAAACACACAGATTGGAGTCCTGACAAGTGTTTGTGTGTGCAGCAGACCTGTCTTTATGGTCATCCCTTTAGCTATGGGCCAATCACTAAAATCCACTTTCATGTCACAGTCTACACTTCCATAGGAATAGTGATGTTTTATAGTATAGTCCACCTTGCAGCTCTGTACAACTTATTTTAGCATCCAGGGGCAACAAAACTTCAAGAGTTCCCTGCTGCACGTTTATTACTTTTATCCGTACTCGCACGCCATTCAATTGCAGCTTTTCCTCGACTGCTTATGCCCACATCGCATCGACAAAGTGGCAGAAACCATGGAATGGATCTCCACTACCTTTGGTCATAAATTCATTTTGTCCATTCTGAGATAACCGACGTCCTGGTTTTGACAGGACGCTAACTTTAATACTTAGCATCAGTAATTCTGATCCTTGTTTACTTTTGTAACCAATGACAAGCAGATCTGTATCTGTCACGCCACCACTCTTAGCCAATCATCTGTTAGATTAGATAGTGATGCAATTTGGATGAGCGGATATTGTGCCAGCAAAAAAATAAATAAATAAAAATCTGCTCTACAAGCCTAGTGCCTCATGAAGGAGGACAAATACACGTCCGGCTGGATGCGGCGCCGGGTGCCGGACAGTGCAATGAAAATCCGGACTGTACGCCCTAAAGCCAGACATCTGGCCACCCTACCTGTGGTCCTTTGCAGCATGCCTCTCCCGCTCCTCATACCCCATTTCCTTACAGCTTACTTTCGAAAAAAAGAGCCACTAGTGCCGTAAAAACTCAAAGCATTAATAAATACAGATAAAATTTGGGTCACTTCAGGCTGCTGTGTGAAAGTAGCCGAGGTTGAGATGCTGGATGCCTTTTTGACACTAAAACCAAGTGGTGGAAACACATCATCAGACCTGAACCATCAAAAGTACCTAAACATAGTAACAATTTCAGCAGGACCTTGAAAAAACAAATGTTTTTAGTAGAGTTGTCACTGATGATGTCTTCACTGGTCTGCCAAAAAGTAGAACAGACTTATTAAAATACATACTAAGAAAGTGGAGCACACACAGAGGGCCCGGTGGCGCCAGTGTACGGCAGCCCCGCTTCTGTCAGTGAGCCCCAGGGCAGCTGTGGCTACAATGTAGCTTGCCACCATCAGTGTGGGAGTGTGTGCGTGAATGGGTGAATGAATGTAGTGTAAAGCGCTTTAGTCAAGTCTCCTGACTTGAAAAAAGGCGCTATATAAGTACATACCATTTTCCATTTCAAGATCTCCGGTTGGTTTCTCTGTCAATTATGTCATGGTGATTTAATCAGCAGATGGGCGCTGCTTGATGGATAAATCACGTCGCTCCTGCGTTTCTTTCAGTCTGTTTTGATTTCAACTCATGCTTTGTCACATATTTAAATTTTAAGGAAGTCCAAATTTAGAAGACAAAGTTATTTGGAAAGTCGTTGTTTCCTATTGCCTGTTGTGCAAAATGCCACCAAATCATTTGAAACCAATATTTAGAATGTATTTGAATAATGCTAAAAACTGATCTGCCTAGACAATCAGCAACACCAGTTAATCCCACATTATCCATATATTAGATGAATAAATCTCGAGTTACTGGAACCCAAATTCCTTAATCGGACTAAATAAATCCGTTAACTAATTTTATCATGTAACTTTCAATGAAGTCTTCACTTCACTGCATAGATGGGGTGAATTTTCTAGTGGACGTCTCATCAATCTTAATGATAGATTAAGCTGCAGCCTTCTCTTTACAGAGTCTGTCCGTTTACTTCTTCGTCGGCGCATTGCCTTTATTGTGGGTGTTTATGACACCAGCATCGCAGTGGACATTTTATGCCTGGTAGCATCATGGTCAGCGCCTCATGGTGCCTTCCAGCTTCGTGGCGGGCACTTCAAGGCACCTATCATTAAGACCGTTTATGGCGACAGCTCTGCGGTGGGCATTTTATGCCTGGTAGCATCGCGGTGGGCGCCTCATGGTGCCTTCCATCTTCAGGCGCCTCATAGCGCCTATCATTGTGGGCGTTTATGGCTGCAGCATCGCAGCGGGCGTTTTATGCCACCTTCTAGCATCGCAGCGGGCACTCCATGGCGCCCATACCCATTGTGGTAGACGCATCCCTCTTTTGTCCATTGCCGCGGTACTTCATGGTGCCCTTTCTCCATCACAGCCAGTGCATTANGGCCCCCAGCTCGTTGCCTCAGGCTCATCATGCCTTTAACCCGTCACAGCAGCGCTTATGGCGCTCTCTTTTAATTGCAGCAGGTGCATTACGACCCCTCAGCTCATTGCTCCCGGTGCATCGCACCCAAACCCATCCATTCGTTCGCATCACAGGCGCTTCGCTTTGAACCCTGAGCACATCATGGCATATGTTTCTCAACTGAAACATCTCGCTTAACCATCGCAGCTTGCATGTTTTGTCTTCAGTCATCGCGGCTTGCGGATTAGCCTAGATTAGCCTAGATCATTCACTTTCTCAACTCATCGTGGCTGGCGTCCCCAGTTCATTACTAGATGGGTGTGTGTTCTCTGCTTGCACCCTTGCTCAGAGCTCGTCTGTGGTTGTGGCGG